GTGCTATCTTCAGTAGATGCGATAGGTGGCCTCTTGTAGCTATAACATCCATCCGCTGCATGTGAAAGAAAGTGAAATTGGAGGTGGGTGGAGGTGCACAGCTTCATCTGTCAGTTCACTCACATTGAAAGAGACAGCACTTGCAGGGTAAATGTGATTCTTTCAAAATGCATTGGTTTTTAACTAAAAATTAAATACCTGACAGACCAGCAGAATAGCAGTGCCAGTGATTATGCTGTCCACAGCACCAATTAGAGAATGATTATTTTATTCTGATTCATCTTTATGTTGTGGTTTCTGGGCAGATCAGAAAAGTATATATTGATATTAATTTTCCTGCCTTGGAAAAATCTTATTGGTGCATATTGCCTTGCAATCATTGTGTGCTTAATGCCCTTTCCAGTGGTCACTGTTCATCAATTATTAAAGCATCTTTTTTCTCCCTCTTTCATCATATGCAGACATTTGACAAAATTCTTATTGCAAACCGAGGAGAAATTGCCTGCCGGGTAAGTCATGTTCTTTTACAATTAATGATTTGCTAGTCAAAAGGTATTTTTGTCCAAGATCTAGAAAACTACTCCTGTGTTCAGGTTTAACATTTAATTTCCATTCAAGAGCTTGTATCTTGGCAAAGCTAATGTGTCTGAGAAATTTAAGTCCATGTCAAAATCAATTCTCTGTAGGCTAAGTCATCAGCATTGCAATATCAATTTTGTGTGTTTAAAAGAGAAGCTTTCCATAGACCTTCCCATTTTACAGAAGACACCAAATTCTGTCAATTCTCATAAAGATACGTTTTTAAATAGAAATTGTAATTTATATAGCGCCCTCCACCCAGACGATGTCTCAGAGCGCTTTACAATAACGGATTCTGGGGCCGAGCCAGGGGGAGGGGGAGGAAGGTGACCAAAGGTGCGGTTGAAAAGAAAGGTCTTTTCGTAAAGATGCCATGACCAATCAAAAGATGAAATGAGTTTCTCCCAGTGTTCTGGCCAATGATCCCTCCCTAAATAAAATTTGTCATTCACTTTGTGACTGTTTGTGGGATATTGGTGTGCAAAAATTGGCTGCCATATTTGCCTATGACATACACAGTCATATTACTTTTCAATAACATATATGAGGCACATTGAATGTCCTCCTTATGTGAAAGGTACTACATCAAATATGAGGAATATTATTTATTATTCACAATAATAAACAGCTATGAAATGAATGACAAATTTACATGGAGGATTGTTGGCTAGGAAACCAGGAGAAACTCTTTTCTCTTGTTTTTAACAGTGTCAGGGAATGTTTAATGTCCACCTGAACAGGCAGACGGGACCTCAGTTTAACGGATGGCACCTTTGGCAATGTAGCACATTAGCTTTGCATTGGACTGCCAGTCTGGGCTGTGAGCTCAAAATCCCGATCTGAGGCTTGAACCTTCTGCCCCTGCCACCCTGATCAGGGCTTGTCTGTGATGCCGTCTTTGACCACTTAGCCTTTCAAATCTTGCTGTCCAGGTTAACCTGTAAAGAATGGCTGGTGCCATCTGTTAAACTGAGGACCCGTCTGCCTGTTCAGGTGGACATTAAAGATTCCTATAGGGCTTTCGCTGCTGATTCTGCATTCTTGCTGCAGTCAGCACTTACAAGAGAAAATTGGAAAAAGAAAAAAAGAATTTACTTGATATGAAAATTTTACCTTGCTTCTTAAAGTTAATACTCAAGCCAACAAGTTACCTAAAAAATCCATCCACAAATGGCCTATAGTTAAATCTTAGATGTTGTTGTTAAAATTTCTACTGTGTATTTAAATAGACTAAGCAGATAAAAACATTAATGTATATATAAATTTTTAGTGTTTTAAATGTTTTTCATTTTCTTGCCCAGCTACCTCTAAGCTCCATAAATTCCTGAATAACGTTCTCGGCTGAAGAGATAATAGAAGATTAGTAATGTTAGTAATGTTAATGTTAAGATGACAGCAGTTATGAAAACAAATAATCAGGGCAGGAGGATTACATGAAAGTAGCTCTAATATTTCAATCATTGACATTAACACTTTGACGACCTCATCAATCTGCTCACCTGTTGACCTCCTAACAAAATCGCTCATTAAACCTTTAATAAGGCACCCATCAGAATTAAAAATTAAAAATATAATCTGTTAGGATTGATAATTGAAGTAAAGCCTATTTCTTCAGCAGAAATGACGAAAGATTGTTTCCACTGATGTGTGTGGGGGATGATTTTGATTCTTATGGTTGTTTGATTCTCCTTGCTTGTCGTCCTTCCCAACTTTCCCTCCACAAGCTACAGACCATCCAGAACTCTGTTGCTAGTTTCCTCTCCCGCACCAGGCTACGTGACCCCATCACCCTCGCCTGGCTCCACTGGCTCCCCATTTCCCAGAGAATAGAGTTCAAAATCCGTGTCCTCACTTCAAAGCCCTCTCCGGTCTTGCTCCTTCCTACCTCTGAGACCGCTAACACCATAACAACCTGATCCACGTCCCCGCCTGGCCCACCCCACCTTGGTGATCGAGCCTCCAGCCTCTCTGCCCCCACCCTTTGGAACTCCAACCCACAGTCCCTACGCCTTGCTCCCTCTCTTGCCTCCTTCTAGGCATGTCTGAAGACCCTCCTCTTTGACCGCACTTTTGGCCACCCTCCTACCCCTACTCTCCCTGTCCTCCATCCCTCCTCATCCACCTCCCTGTTTGGGTCCAAATCCCTGCCTTGGGACATCGTCCCGACGGGAAAGGCGATACATAAATTTAATTTGTTGTTGTTATTTACACTTCAAATTTTAGCTCCCGGACTGAAAGTCCTGACGTGGACTGTGATGAGACTGAATGAGTACTGCGCTATATGAGCACTTGCATAAGTGGCTCAAATAGTGAGTTTCAACAAACTGTTTAACCATGAAGGCAACACAACTAAGTCTGATCCCATCCCCACCGAACGTCCACACTTTCGATAATGCTTTGTGACTGAAATGAGTTTTTGTCTCTTATCTAGGCTAGGGAGCTCATTTTCAATGAGAGATTACTCTACTAATGGATTTTCCAATGTTGTAGAGTTCACACCATTTACACTATGGAGCAGATCCTATGTTTTGATGACAACAAACAGAAGATTACACTACCAAGTGAAAATTTTGAATATTTACAGCACATGAAATAAACATTTCCAGCATTCCTGTTCTCATTTCAAATTTCCAGTCCTTTGACACTTTGTACAAAAATACTCGTGTCTTGACTATTGCTGCATAAGACATCGTATAACTTGATGTGGTACGGGGATCAAACCTGGGATTCTTTTGGTCTGTATGTTTCAGTTCAATAGTGACATTGAAATGGGAGAAGGCAGAGAGAGGGAAAACATTAACAAACTTTTTGAAAATGTAATAATTGTGAAATGTTTTATTATATCTATTCCTATTCCTTTTGTAGGTTATTAAAACTTGTAAGAAGATGGGCATCAAAACTGTTGCAATTCACAGTGATGTAGATGCCAGTGCTGTAAGTAGATAATGATTAAGCTTTCTGTTTTGCTTCGTATTCTGGGTCTGTTTATAAATGATTGTCTTGTGTTTCTTTTCCCCCCAAAAGTGCTGAAGAAGTAATTGCCTCATTTGGCTTAAATGTTTGAAAGAAAATGGCAATCACAAAGGAAACATTTTGTTGTTTTAAACACAAGCGTAACAGTTTTTTCTGAGTAATATTAAAGTAAAAATTTAGAATATAATATACATCACATAGTAGTTCCTCTGAACTAATGAGACTTTTACCAAGTACCGTGAAGTCCTTTATTATACCCCAGATTATTGGGGAAAACATTACTTTCTATCAGAGTAAAAGAAGGAATAATGCAGGTTTAGATTTGTGTTAGCTCCATTAGTATGGCAAAACTGCAATGTAAAGCAAATCAGATGCCCCAATTACAAAAGGAATGAAAGGATTAAGAGGATTACCTGAAAGGTCAATGTTAATATATTCATACATGGACAATGACTCTAATAACCCCATTTATAGACTTAATTGCTATAATCAGGAGGAGGTACTTCACGTTCTTTTCATATGATAATGTTTTCAGAGGATAAATTCATTATGATGTTCATAGCTGAATTGACACTTAAACTAACTGTGAAAATATTGAGACATGTTTGTATGTTGAATTTAATACTAGATTTAGATTAAAGTCAGTTAAATGTCAGTATCCTCACCATTGCTGCCACAACCATAACCAAAAAGCCCCCAAAACCTTGTTTTGCCATCCTGCCATGAAGAAAACATGTTTGATTTTCAGGTTGTCAGATTGCTACTCATGTGACTTTCTTGTACTGCTCATGTCATTTCCTTCATGCTGCCCAAGTTCAGTGGCAACCTGACATTTCAGACGTTGGCCACTTTATCATACATGGTTATTATGCCTGAGATATTGAACCCAGTGTTATAAATTAGGGCTTGCTGTCTGTACAGTACTCTCCTGAAGCATTGGAAATTTAATA